GCTGGGGAATTCTGGGAGTTGAAGTCCACTCATCTTAAAGTGGCCAAGTTTGGACAACACTGCTCTACACACACGGCAGGCGCTTTACCTCAGAAGTCCAACTCACAATCTAGTTCAGCCTCCTCTTGGTAGATAATTTGGAGGTCACTCAAACAGCCCTTTTATCTTCTTGTGGAGATACAGGCCTAGTTCTGCAGTGACTATCCCCAAAGAAGCAAATAGTGTGCCAAATGTTTTTGCTTTTCTCAGAGATGCATGGCTGTTAAACAACTCTGTCTTTTAAGATATACTGCAGTAAGCCTGTCATTTTTCTTTTGGAACCACCAAAACTCCACAGATTAAGAGAGGCAAGATAGAAGCCCCACTGGAATTCAGTTAGTTTCAGACTATAGTAAGTAGAATTTATCTTAGGTCAGCAGGTACATTTTGGCACAGGACACAATATACAGTCTGAGTTTGGAGCTTGCTCTCTATCCTCTGCAATAGAAAGAAGCCCCTTCTCCTCAATATGCGATGTTTCCTTATTGTTCAGAAGACAGAGCAGGAACAAGCAAACCAATAAATATAAGAGACTGAATGATTAGTATTCCTCAATCATAAAACTACGAAGTATAAATGTGTCGTATTGTAACTCTGTTATGCAACAGCTGCATCTCTTCCCAAAATCATGTTCTAGCTGCACGATCCTAGGAAAAGATGTGACTGCTTTAAAACATTGCAGAGAAGTACTATATTTGTCCTTCAAAACATCTTTTTGGAATGAAATCAGAATTGCTGTACAGTTCTGTTGATGATCAGAGCCATGCTGATGGGTTGGTGCTGTTACTGCTGGCATATGAAGAACCCTCCTCATACTGGACTAATAAGGACACAATATTAGTGGAGGACGGTGCCTTTGGAGTACAATGATTTTTTTCTTTTCTTTTAACCCAGGAAGTTAAAAGATGGTGAGTTCTTATGCTAACAACCCCATAAAAAGAGATGGAGGTATGAAGGGACAGGGCAGGGAAATACGGCGCCTACATGGTTGGAATCCGGCCTATTTGACATGGAATGGAATTACCCTGGATAAAGTGTGTATCTATATCAGAGCCATGCTTAGTTGTAAAGGTGTGTGTGTAGAAGAGAATAAAATGGGAAAATGACATTTTATTTTAAATCATGGTTGGCATATGTCTGCATCTTACTCACTGCATTGGACAACAATTGGGCACGGTAAACCTGTGGCTCTCCTTTGTGGGTTCGGATGCCAGAATATACACACAGCTCAATATCATCACAGTCTCCTGCTAGCAGGGTGGAAGGAGAATGATTTGTGACTTTTCTCAGGGCTATTTAAAAAATGTGTGTGAGTGTGTGTGTGTGTATACCCATACACACACACACACACACACTAGCCTCTAGGCTAGTATAGAACCCATGTTACTTAGGGAAGGCAAGTGGGTTGCTAGATTTGGTGAATCCAGGGACACCCCTCCCTCCGTGCCTCATTTGTTGGAAAAAGATGTCCTCGGTTGCTATCAAGGTACAAGAAGGAAGGTTTCAATGTTGAATTTCTTCCTCCAAAATTGGAACCCTCTCTCCAACCTTGGCTGAGCTACAGTTTGTAGTTGAAACTATTTTCATTCTTCATTTATGTAGGACTTTTATTTTGTCAATATCTTATCCCAAGAACCTTCTTATCCTGAATAAATATTTCTCTGACAGAAGCACTGGACTGGTCAGTAGGTTTCACCAAGATGGCCCAAAGACCTAGTCCCTTCACTTCTAAGTTGGCATGGATGGATGACTTAATAGAGATTCTGGGGAGAGAATGGACACATCTGTGTGACTGTAAATGATTTTGTAGCAGCTGTATGGCCAGCTGTACCTGTATACTGTTCAGATATGAATAAACAGGCATACTTGTGCCCACAGCATTGTGTATGTATTCCAAAAATCAGATGAGGAAGGAGTACAACTGCAGTTCTTGCTCTTCAAGAGGTTTGAATTTCTCTGCCCCCCATTCTTCCCCACTCCCTGAACCAAATTGACAATGCAAAATTTTCCCTAAATTCTGCAGCCCCTCCGAGTTTACTTTGCAATCAAAAAAGACAAACTGAGCAGATTGAGATAAACATATCTAATGGGCCTACAGCTGTTCCAGACATTCCAGTACAGACACAGATGTTTGCTTTTAGCAATAAATGTTCTGGACTCTGTCGCTTATGTTAACTGCTCTATGTGTTTGAGCTCATTTCAACTAATTGATGAATTATGATTAGCCAGCTCATGATTAGCCAGGACTGCTATGTGGCTGGCTGGCAACAAATCACTTCCAAGGGCAGCACCTTCACAGCGTCATCATTCAACAGCATCATTCAATTTTATGTGTTGTGTCCATCTTCTTTTTTTCAACCAAGATGCTTAACACGGTATGTGTGGGCTATTTAGTATATGTGTGGTCTCCCATCCAACTGCTGCTCAGATCCAAACCTGCTTACCTTTAGAAGCTCAGTTGAAACAAGGGCACTTCCGTAAACATAGGTTATAACGCTTGTAAAACATGTTTCTTCAGCTGCAAGCTACAAAAGAGTGGAACTGTGACTGACTTCCCACACCATCAGCAGACGTTATGGCTTTTCCATGTATTCATCCCATTGTGTTCTTTCTTTTCTCAGTCCTTAGCACTGTTCTTTTATCTATTTAAAAGATGTACTTTTGACATAGTCAGGGACTATCAAGCAGCTAAACCTAACCTAGATAAGCACTTAATAACCATTCCATTTGTAATATGATTCTATTTTTAAATTATCTTTAGCACCAAGATATCTTCACAGCTTTAGCTCTATTACAGCAAAACACCACTTACATGGAACCTTCCGAAGGGCTCTGTCCCTGTGATGTTATAATGAAACATGTTTCCAGATATAACCATTTTAACAAGTAGTCAGTGATAAGGACTGAATAATATTTTTTAAAAAATTGTTAGTGTAGCATTATATTAATGTAGTGCTAAAGCATTGCAGCGCTAATTAAAATAAAAATAAAAAGAGCTACTCTTGGTCATACTGATAAAAACAACTGGAAAGAATATTCTTTCATTAATAACACACTCGTTTACCTGGAATTTTGCTTTTGTGTTTATTTTATAGATATAGATATAGATATAGAGAAGGAGAGGGAGAGAGTATAGATACAGTATAGATACACACACCACAGATGCGCACAATGTTTTGGTGCTTCTTAGAAGAGCAGTTAAAAAATGGATGGCTGTTAAAAGGGCATCTTCTTTAAAGGTTATGCAAGCACGATGATGAACTGTAGGTTCTTTTGGTCTACCCAATCTAATGCCACACTTTTACAAAAGCAGAAAAGTGCTAAAGCCATCTACCCCTGAGCGACTTCCTTATTCTTCCCCCACCTCAACGAAGTCATGGAAAACACCACCTGGAAAATTCAAGAGAATTATAAATGAATGATGGTATTGTGTAGACACTATAACATTTGAGTAAATAAATCATGGTTACTGTAGAATAAACCCTCACTGGAGAACAGCCCAGGCAGTTCCAGACTGTGATCCAGGGGTCAGACTGGAAGTAATACCCAAAACAAGAGCATGTTGTTTGAAGCTCTGGACTAGAAGCCAAATGGCTTGATCCCATGTATTGGCATGAACCAAAATTTCCCAGCTCAGACCCATCTGAGAATTAGAAGGGATCCAGTGCTTAGGATGAAGAACCAAGTCCCTCTAAAAGTTGCTACCCAATTGTAATGTTTAATATCACAAAAGAGGGAAAATCTTAAATGCACTGAGAATAATTACGTTCATTTAATTCAATCAAAGCACATTTTTGTCTTGGGCCCACCCATTTCTTTGTCTGTTGGACTTGCCCACTTTTTGGAACCTGTGCTCTAGCATACCCTTCAAAGATTAAATGTGGTCCTCAACTTGAAAGGAGTCGTACCTCCCTATTGTAAGCCATACTTTGTCACTTCCTCCTAAGCCTAAAGGAATACACTCACACTGCACACGTACTGTACTCTAGCTACTGCGTTAACCATTTTCTGGTTCACACAGAACTATGAACTAAATGGGCTGAGGTCATGCAACAGTCCAACCCCTGAAGAAAAAACTAAGGTTATTACCAACCAAGCTTAGGAGGTTGTACAAAGGTAGCCAGCAAGAATTCAGCTGATGAAGCATATTGCGTGAACACAACCATTGTGGAAGTGATGACTTACTCGTTAGAAAGAGGAGGTGTTTAATGCATACTTGGAGGTCCTTGCCTCCATTATAACACAAATGCTTTGGAACTGACAAGCACATAAAAAAAGGCAGGGCTTCAATCAAACAGTTGTGACTGCTAACTTGACTTTCTTGATACCCCCACCCCACACATGCCCCTGCATAAGGGGGCAGTCCATCACTTGTGGCATTCTCCCTCTTTGTACTACCCAGATACCACCTAAAAATAACAGACACATGATGCCTACAGGTAAAGGGTGGATGAACCCAACTTTCTAAGACCCGAAGAGCAAATGATGTTAAGCAGCAATTCACTTGCATCCATTTCTGTCTAAATCCCAAACCTCCCCCAGGAAGGCAGTCTAAAAGGTAAGTAACAAACAGTGACATAAGCAGCCAGCACCAGGATGAGGAGCCCAGATGTTCCTTATTTTAAAGCTGAGTTTTGTCTTACATCTTGTTTACATGCTAAGAGATACCCAAAGTTGTTTAATTCTGTGTTATTATCTTGACTCAACCTTTTGTAACCAGATCTGAAAGTGGAAATCTTTCATAAGATGTGGAAAGGAGATTGTGTGGTTACTCTCAGATGAGAAAGGCTCTCTTTACAGGCTCAGGAACACATGCTCTACTGTGGCCATGGAAAAGTCTTCCCTTTCACCTTTGACCTATCAACAAGCTTCAAATCCTCATCTATCCACCCA